CGGAGTAGAGTAACATAACATGTACAGTACTGTACATGTACGTGTCATAGACCCACCCCATCAATAATGGTTCCTTTTAGTTGTACAGTAGTCTCTTGGCGCAGACTTGAATTTGATAATTCAATGATTTGATATGATCCAACTACTCCGGAGTAGGTTTGTCGCTTTTATTGTATCTGTGGACGAGAGACCCACCCCCTTGACACATTAAAAAAAAAAATGCTACATGTAACGTTGCTAATGCAGAATGCCTCACCCACAGTCCCACACCAAATGAAATTATTAAATAAACTAAGCATGTGTATGTAGACTTAGAGTGCCCATCTATCCCTTGCCCTCAGCTCATCTACAAGTACATGTATGTTTGTCTGTCGCTGTCTCTTTCTCTGTCCCTTTCCCTTTCTCTGTCTCCCTGTCTCTCTCTCTCTTTCTTCTTTCTACTTTATGTTTGTCTTCCTGAGATGTGAAGAATCTATTCTAGTGCGAACCGCCGAACCGCCGAACCGAATGGAAGTTCGCTGAACATGGCACTTCCGAACCGAACCGAACCGAACCGAACCAAACCGAACCGAACCGAACCGAACCGAATGCAAAGGCCTGGTTCGGATGTTCGGCAGAAAAATATAAAAGTTTTTGCAAGCTAATAAACTTGTCATTTTGTACCTAATTTTCATGTCATGATTGCTCATTTTATATTTACTTTTTTCCCCATTTTCCGCCTTTGTGATTTATGCCTATCCGGTGGTGGGCGCGACTTCACTGGCGCCATTTAAATCCCAAATCCTGACCACGCTACGTCGCGATTGTAAGCCATAAACAAGAATACATGTGCGTGATCAAAATATGTTCAGCTCAAACCCCTTCAACAAAAAATTAATATTTTAATTGTAACAATATCGGACAAATTTTACAATATAAATAATGAAATATACTGTATATATATTATAGTATGGTATTTATTTATTCAGGAAAATAGGGATTTTATATTTTTCCTATTAAAAATCAAAACTTATACAAAACAGTTATTGACGAGCCTGAATTTTTATTCACGATGGCAGCTTTCATGACTCTAACATTAGACAACAACCGTCTCGGAAAATCTTTAAAAAATATCATTTATTGACAAATTGAAAACATGATTCATTTAAAATTGAAAATAAAACATGATTCAAGACGGAAATACGATTGTAAGTTGTATTTTTCTTCACAAATAATTAGGTTTAGAGCAGTTTTAATGTGAAATTCGTACTGGTCGGAAGCAGCGTGCAGAGGTCCTCCGTGCTGGTCGGGCCCGGCAGGCTGGCCGGCCCGCCCAGTGCCGACCGCCGTGGCTATAACGCTGCTTTCTATTATATTACCGAACCCCGAACCGAACCAAGTTCGGGTGAAAAATTGCCGAACTCTGCCGAACTGAACCGAAATGAACACGAACATGAACATAGCGTCGGACTTACACTAATCTATTCTTAGGCCTTTGTTATAGTCATTGGAAGAGCAATACTAAAAGTGTATTTTTCAAGGTCACTTACAGTACATGCACTATGTCTACTTTGCGTTAGTGATGTATGCTCCTTGAACTATAATGCCTTCGAATGATTATTCATTATTTTTCTGCAAAACAATGTAACGCATATTTTGTAAATCATTGTGTTTTCTGACCAATAAAACAAGATAAAAAAAGATTACACAAAATAATATGCCTTCGAATACATTTGAAGATCTGTATTTTGAATTAGGCTTCTGAGTTCCAGATGGAATGTCATCGTAATATTACAGGTAAATGCCTGATTAAAGCGTGTGCTGTATTGTGCAAATGTCAGAGGTACCTTGTTGCCTGCCACTACAATTTTCCATTTTTGTTTTCTTTCGATCTCCCTCCCTCCCTCCCTCCCTCACCCTCTCTCTCTTTCTGTCTTTAGATACATCTTTTGCTTTATGTGACACGTTCCTTTTCATATATGATTTCAATGGATATTGTATAAGATATCAGAATTCCAAACGAATATGAAAATGAATAATTCTGTATAGCCTCTTCTCCATACAAAGTGCTTAAGAAAGAGAAGAGGAAGAAAAAGAGAAATATCTGTACTGTATTAGTATTTCAAAGCGATTTACTTTTTTTGCAATTGATGATAAATGAAGTTAGCAAGTTCATGGATATTACATTGTATGTATTCAATCTACACAGGTTTGAATCAGTTAGACCTACACGTGGTTATACTGTTTCCTTACTACATGTATATTATTACCATCCTCCTGTTCCTACATGTACTCTGTACTGTAGTTCCATCGACACGGAGATGGATGATGAAATATTGATTGGAGACCGACCTTTGAAATGAAGGGTAAAAGTGAAGTATAATTTGTTGCAGAAGGCTAAGGTCAGTTGACTGTAGAAATAAGACGCAATTCTGAGCTGGACGGCATCAGTTTATACAGCTCCATCTCGTCATCTTGAGGGTAGCACTGGCATATATCTTCCTGTAGCCCCTCCCATTTTGCTTTATATCTGTCTACCCCTCTATACTTATTGTATATTTTACTACATTTGTTAGAAAAGCGATGCTAGATAATTTTTGTTTTAATAAGAAATAAAATCAGATTCACATATTGCAGTGTACATGTGTATTTGCTTATGTAGGCAATAAATATTCATATTTATGTACAGTACATACAAAGTGACAGTGTACATGTACATGTATGTACCCCCATTGTGTCGTAGCTCTGAATTCATGACATCACCATTGTATCATTTGTTTAAACTGGGATTTCCCCAAATGCAAAGGATTGCATTATTACCAACGCAAAGGGGAAAATATCTTTAAGAGTACATGTATGTACAGGTGTACATGGAAGGAATTGCATTATTCCTCATTAGTATGGCCCCATGTTAAGTTTAAGGATTCTCATGAATTATTCTGACCTATATGTACTGTAGATGTAGATATTCTCGTGCACCCCCCCCCCCTCCCCCAATCAATTTGCTGATTGCTCCCTGCACAGCCACCCTCAAAGGTTTGTGCAGATCACGGACAGACAGGTGTCTATGTTAAGCCTCGGTCACAAATGCCATTACGAACTGCTACGAACGCCTTACGAATGATTTTCAGACAATGGAAGTTCGGGAAGACAATGGTAAAACAGAGATTTGTACGAAATTATCGTTGGTACGAACCTTTGTGACCGTAGCATAATGTACATGTACATGTAAAAACTGTACAGGCACATGGAGGCTCAGGCATAGGCCCGTGGATTTTTTGCTTGTCTGATGCATGCTGGGGTTTACATCCTGGGCCTGGGACATGAATTATGTGTTACATTTCATTGTTCAATATTCTATTAGACTTAGAGGAAGGGAAAAGATAAAAACAAAACAAAACACAAACTGATAACTTATATTTACACCTATAGAAACCCAGGCCCTGTTTCATAAAACTTGTTGAATCAATAACAAATGCTAAATTTCTGTAACATCTTTGCTCTCAGCCAATCAAATGCCACCATTTCAGTAAACTGTCATTGTAACTTGTCATTGATAACAAGTTTTATGAAACATGGCCCAGGTGCAATATGGTGTGAACAAGTACACTGAACCACCACAGCACATGGAGATTTACTCATTCCTGTACGTTTCTCCTAAGGAATTTTAGAAATGCAACATGGGGGAAAAAGAGCTGTCAGTCATAGTTGAGGTTGGGGGCAGAAGAAGGGTATAGGAGAAGGGTACAGGGAAACTAAGGATACATAGTGTAGGAGGCTGACATTATTTGCTTACGGATGAGATTACGTATACAGTACATGAACGTATACATGTTTGTAGGTTAGGATTGGGGCGATGAGGGGCAACATTAATCGTCAACTTTGCAGTCTTGACCACAGATTTGACATGTAAATATATTTGTTAAAAACATTTTTGAGCATTTTTAAAACTATGTACATGAACGAGTTGAATTTAATTTGTCCTCAGTAAAATGAGTTTGTATTCAGGAATGCCCATCTTTTACTTTCCATTATATGCATAAGCCTGTAATGAAAATTTTCATAGAAAGAATTACTTGTAAGCAGTTTTGAAATGGTAGCAGCCATGCAATAAAGCAGTATGTGTACAGTACATTGTCAAATTTAAGAATTGTAGGAAACTCAAAAGTTCTAGAAACAGTGCTTTACATGTAGGAAATGTGAAAACAATTGTAGCTGATATTTGTTTTAAATTTCAAGAAATCTTGGAAAAAAACTTGCCAATTTGCAGGAGAAAACAAAAAGAGGACAGACAGAAAGAGAGATTGGCCTTGCTGGTATCCCTTTAATTTGTTGTCCCAGACGGCTTCCTGTTTGGCAGGAATTTTGCCAATGAAGGAGAGAGGATGAATCAAACATTACGCCAAGTGCCAATGTTTTCATCTTATTAAATGAACCGTAGTCTACTTTTAACTGCCAGATGTGTTTTTTTTTTTTTTTGGGGGGGGGGGGGGGGGAATCAAGGTGCATCATGAAATTCATGTGTGTAAATAATACAATCATTGTTTACAAGGGGAAGAAATTGTGCACTAACTTCGTCATTAGTGTTTATGCATGGCTAATATTGGGCATTGATATGGATTGGAGATTCGGAGGAGGGCTGTGAAATTGACACTAACATTCATGATGGTTAATTTTGTTAAATGTGAGCAGCATTTAATAAGGCTACATACATGTAGTACATTTGTAGATCAATTCAGAGAGACTATTTTCTTTGTGTTGTAAACAATTCACATTGTAAACAGCTTTGCATGACTTTACAAGTTGTAGCATCTAGGCAAGGAAGGAATAAACTATTACATGTATGATTGATGAGCAATGTTTTTTCCAAAGTTATTTTTTATTTTCTACATTTCATGCAGCACTACCACGATTGATAGCGGGTGCTGATTGCTTGATTTATGATTTAAAAAAAACAACTTTGTCTGATGTTAAAACAATTATCATTACAATAAAAATTTCTTTTCACTTTTGTCTTGCAGCCGATGAGCCAGATGCCTCGCAGTCACAACCCCTACCTGGACAGAGAGCATTGCCTGCTATGTCGCCGTGAGAGGCCAGACCCTCCAGCTAATCGCATCCCCCCTGGGGTCGGAGGAAGTGAGAAGGAAAACAACAGGCAGTTACCCATTACACAGGTAGGAAGCTGTGAGGGATGGAGAGTGGAATGGTTGGGGAAATTTCAACCTTACTGACAAGTTTGACCAGATGCCTTTTGGGACGCATTTGAACCTTTTGGTGACATTCATGCTTATTAAAGATTTGCTGATTTGAATATGTTAAATATGTGGGCATTTCCATGTTAAGTGGGTACTTCTGTGATGTAAATATGGTCAAAATTGTTTTCACCCCTAGAGCAATCAAATTTCTCCCTTTGCTTGTCCAATATCTATATTCTATATTTTTATGAGGGAAAAGATAAGTGTGATTTCATGTTAACTTTGCAGAGGTCGTAAAGTAGGACATGTATTGGGGGGAACGTATGTAACATTGGACAGAAATTTGTAACTTAAATTACCTCTGATTTATTATTTGCTCAATATATAAATGCAATGTTCATTCATGTGAGTTAAGTATCAATAAAACATCAATTTAACAATCATCTCAGATTTTGCTTCTTTTAAAAAAAAATTTTTATAGCTTTTTTTGTGAATCAGAAAAACAAATATTTAAGGAATGTTTGCAATGTATCATGTATTATTGAATGAATAAATCTTTCACACATGTTTTAATGGTGCGTACTCTATTAATTTGGTGTCACTGTGTACTGGATGTTGATGCTATGTTCATATATTCCAGGATAAAATAAAATCTAGAAGTTATAATTGTTGATGCATGTTGGAACCAATTAATAAGAATAGGGAACGTATGTAACGGTTGGACAGAACAGGCATCTAAACGTTTGTTTGAATTCTGTTTTGGGACACATATTTCATAATCAATATATTCATAAGCGTTGCATAGGTTAAAATGTTTCATTGTATTGATCATTTTAAATTGTTTTGTGTTTAGGTCATTGTAAATTCATTTTGTTTCAAATCACTGCCTGGCCAATGTTACATGTGTTCCGTATCAGAACTTCAAAAGCTGCAGATTTATGGAGAATAAGTGAAATGTGAATGGTCTTTAATTATTAAGTATAATGAAATCAATGAATTTGCCAACTGATATACGGTTTGTAAATCTGTAAAATAGATTAATTGATAGTTTTGAAATCTTATCTCACCTCTCATTAATCTTTTGACCAACTGCAAAAGCAAGCAACAAACTTCAGTGTACAACTTAAATTGTCCATGGATGAACCATTTATATAAATTTATAAAATTATGAACACCTGAATTGCAAATTCAAATTTAAAAATGATAAGATAGTAACTATAGTCACATGGAAAGAAGTTGGCACAATATAGAATAAAAGGCAAACACTAATCATTTCATTGAAATTGAAATTTCACAAAACCTTATATACAAATTTAAAAGTAGTCTAGGTGATGTCTTTAATAGTCAGTAGCCAAAATGTGTCTCGGACACAGAGCCCAATAATAACAGACTGTTAAACAATAATATTGAGCATGCATTTCACTACATGTAAGCATTAGCTTGTAATCAATTCCCATCAAGACTGGGAAAGTAGTTGACACAATATAGAATAAAAGGCAAACACTATTCATTGATATTTCACAAACATCATGTCGTTAATTACAAATTGTCTATACAGGATTTGTATGCTTTTATTCTAGAGTTCTTTTATCTGCTAACTACAATGTGTATGATATTTACCTTTTATATTTCTTAATTTTTCATAAATGCTCTATTTAATTCTATTTTTGCTCAAAATTATGATCATTCATTTCAAGTAAGTTCAAATCAAATACATGTATTTATAACAATCATTTTGATGTAATTCAGATCTGAAATTCAAAAAAGATTTGACACTGCATACTCAATGGGTTATTTTGCATATTATAATGCATCAATTCAATTGAGCATTCATTAAATATTTTCAGTAAATAATTGTGTCTTTGTGCCAATTTTCCATGAATTTTATTTGTTTTCATAACACACAAGTCTATCGAGGTGATTAAAACCTTACTGAAGTACAACGTGAGAACAATAAATTAGCACGATCCAGCCATTTAATCATGTCTCCTTTTTAACATCAATACACGCAGTTCTAGGTTTTCCTCTTACACGAGAGTCAGAGAATATTGTAAGGATTTTAAAACCGATGGTTTGGGACGATATCGGGTGTGCTGGACTTTACACAAGTTCTCTGAAGAAGTTGGAATGACTCGATTCATTATTAACCAATCTATGAGTAATAAGACATTCATAAATTGTATGGAACAAGTCATGATTCTGGGGAGAGTTCTGCAAAGGTGAAAAATTGTAATCTAGTGCTGCTGATGTCTTCCCGAAGGACAGGGTTAGGCATTTTCTTCACTATCTGTTTTCTACATTCCCGAGACACATCCTCACGTGCTGGCCATATAAATAGCCCCGGATGAGACTCCGACTCGGCCATGTACTTGATGACAAGATCTTCTCCCACAACATCTTTCACCTGAAATCAAAAGAATTAAAGATGAAAAAAATCATGAGTTTAAAATCCATTGTGCTAATTCAAATTTAAATGTATTTGTATTTTTTTTTCTTTTTTGACTTGTTAAGATTTTCTCACGTTAATAGTAATCATGCACATTTTCACTCCAAACAGATAGATATTTCCTGGTTTTGAAACATGAAGGCATTAAATGATTAACAGAAGGATTGTAAAATATCAATGCAATGATATGACTCAGGTAATGTAGATGCAATATTTTGTATAATTTAGTGTAGGCTCAATAATGAAATAATTCTTGTGTATAAAATGTCATCCATTGAAAAGTAAAATAATTTTTTTTTTTAATGCGACCTTTTGAAGAAAACACAATTTATTGAAGATAACCAACATTAAGTAATCAAGCAAGCTGTTGGTAAGTATAAATTTGTTTTTTGTTTTTCCTGATTTAGGCAACTGCAGTTGCTTTTTTTGCGTGAGCTAAATTGGGTTGCGGTTGCACCTATTGAAAATGCGAGATCGGCGAGAGTTACCAGTGTTGCATACATGAAAAGCTACATATGGGACTGTAATGTAATAATATCACTACACGTTAAAATTTAGCACTAGCAGACCAGAAGAGGAAAATATAATCGTACACCACTAAAGTTACACATGACTCATTTTCGGAAACATATTATGATCTTTTACTGTATTTCAAAAAGATTTTGAATAACAAATACGTACCATTCCACGATTTTCAAAGCCTAATCTAATTACGATCGGATGTCGTCTGCTGCTCACGTCCGACACGTACGTAAATAGGACAGAAAACATGTTCTGTCATACGTGCGTACGTGTCGTTCTAACTACCAGCAACCGTGAACGTACGCACAAACTGGACAGAAGTTATATAGAGCTACACGGCCCCGCGATTGTAGAAGTCAGCGCATGGATTGCAAGTACAATCAAACGTTGCAGTGCCTTGGTTCACTTGACTGATACGTGGATTATCCATGCGTCATATTCGCGGACGCCACGGTCCGGTTTTTTAGTTGTTACGTACGTTCGTGAGTTGGACCGAATATTGCACTCCAAATTTTGAATAGATTTTATCTCTATTTGCGTTTATTTTGACGATTTTTTTCTTGGTCTACATTTCAACCTTCATCAAAAGAGTTGCAAAGCACATAAAACTGTTGGGTGACACAACTAATAATTGTGGGAAAATTCACTCTGAACGTACGTAACACAGGTGGACAGAATCTCTCATTCAGCCAATGTAATTTTCAACTCTCTCACTCTCCCTCTTTAAAGCTCAATCGCCGTAACTATGATCAATGCCGTAATCCACCCGCATCAAAATCTCTTTTCAAAACATGAAACATCAATTTCTTTTTAGAATTTTTATTTGCATCACCCTCAAAATCACACCACTCAACATTTACTGATTGTACTTTGGAATTTTTAATAATAATCATTAAAGAAAAGAGGACAACACAACCAAATGACATTATTAGTGCATGGAATTGTCTTTTTTATTTCTTTATACCATCAACAATGAAAATAAAAACACAGAAAGCCACAGGATATTTATTTAATTTTTCTGTAAGCGCTTTATTCTTTCACACACAGAAGTACCCTATTACCGTGGAAATGCCCATATGCTAAAAATATTTAGCAAAGTGCATTCATGATGCACTGTGAAAATATGGAATGTACAGTCATTTTCTTGGAATTTGGTTTTGAGGAAGTCATACCCAGTTTGTACATCCATCACTGTAGGTGATAACACACAATCAAGGAAATATCATTTAGGAAGGTGTGATCCTTCAGTTTTCTGTACATTTCCTTGTATTCGTTTACCAAGATGATGGAGGGGGAAGGGGGGGGGGGTGGGAGGTAAAAAGTGGAACAGCTCACACATGTACAGTAAACCACATTATTCATACCCCTTAAAATTTGTTTCCCCCACTATACATGTAACTCAAGAATGAAAGATGGACTGGTTAAATTAGGGCCTTTGTTGAATACTGCTAGATGTAAGCTTTAAAATGTCACATCACAAGAAACATAAACACATACAGTACTTAAAAAATTACAAAACTTGGTAAGGGTATGAATAAATATAATTGTTGACTACAAACTCATGTATAAAATAGTATGGTTACACATCAAGAAAAAAAATCTTTGGGTATCAGTTGTGACAAGAGAAGGTGTGAGATTGAGATTACAGTGAAATTGAAGCTGTCCCTCCCTAAAAAAATAACAGAAAAGGGGAGGATAGCTCATGAATACATACAAAACCAGGAAAAAGCATGGTACCTGTAGAACCTTGATTATGCAATATGCATGCATATTGTGAGTCATATTGCATTTGCCATGCAAAGTACATCTTCATCATTTTGGCAGTGTACATTAATGCTCCCATGACTTATGTGTGAACTCTCCTTGTGAGTTGGCTAGAGCTTGCCTGTTGTGAATTCAATTAAACAAATTGGCACAAATATGTATAGAGGAGGGAGTGTACTCTCTGAGAGATAAGGAGAGTGTATTTTTACTACTTGATGCAGAGAGGTCACAGAACATTGTGATAATGTGATCACACAAACAATCTAAACGATGCAATATATCTTTAGAATGTTCAGCCTGAATCAGAGAGAATTTGCATAAATTAGAAGGATTGTACAGCCCCCCCCCCCATTTCCTAAGAACATGCCCCTTCCCCAATCAACTCCTCCCCATAACCAGGGCTCCACAATTTTATTATTTAGGGTCTGGACTTGATTTTTTGTGTGGCCTATACTGTGCCCTTTGAAGAAATTCAGATTTTTTTTTTTTTTATTATTTTTTTTTATGGAGGGGAGGGGGGGGGGGGGCCTGGACTTTGATTTGGGGCACCTGTTTACAGTGTCGAGCTCTACTATAACGACTAGTTACAATTTTATACCTTTTTCTATGTTCTTGTCTTCATGTAAAGATGCCCCTTTGGTTGTGTCCCGACTGCCGTCGTACTGTAGAGGAGGAAGAGGCTCATTCCACCAAAAACTTTGGTCCATCAGCCATTGGGGTAAGTCAGAGGATGGCTCTATCCTCAGCAAGATTGTACTTGCCACCTTACTAAGAGCAACATAATCTTGTTAAATACCCTGTTATGGGCTAGTTGGATTCAGTTACTTTTTAAAGTTTTGCTAAGAAAGAGCTTTTGGTCTGGGTATAACATTTTAGTAGGATTTGGGCCAATTTGATTTTGAAGAGAGAAACAAATTGCACTTCAGGAGTTAACCTCAAGAGTAATAAATCTTTCTACCTGTCCATAGAGGGAGGTATTGGTCTAGATTTAGTATAAATCTTAGAACAAGAGTGCAGGTATAATCTTGAAATAGGAGGTAGGCCTACATGTATGTTTCTTTACAACCATTATTAAAATGCTCTTTTGTTATTGTGATCTATTTACATATTTCTCTAGCTAGACCATTATGCATCTCTAAATGACTGCCGTATGTTAAACGTACATGTAAATTCAAACAGTTTGGTTGTGACGTAAAGCAGATTGATTGAATAAGACATTAAATTGGGGGAATACCTCTCAATAGGGAAATATGTCCAGAATAGAAAGACTACTCCTTTGAGTCATTACAAGAAATGGGCTCAGTAAACTGCACTGGTCAGGCCACCAGTGAAAATAAACGTTGATTTGATAGTAAACATATTCTTTTGTAATGGCATTTACAACATGCTTGACTGTTCATTGGTTTGTACCTGTAGTTGAACTTAATTAGATGCAGTTACTTTTCAAAGTTGACCTGAAGTTATGAGATGGCTCATATTGTGTGACAAATACATCCATTTCCCCCAAGCATATACTGCGAGCCTCTAGTACCCACCGATGAAGCATTTGTAGAGAAACCCTCCTGAACCTGAAAGAATTGTCTCGGCTTTTGTGTTCTCATTTCATTGACATTCAGGAAGTTACTTTGACACTATTTATAGTTAGTAATCAGGGAGTCACAGCGTCAGGTTTCCTTTTTCTTTTTTCTTCTTTCTCTCTGATTGGGAGGGTTAAAGCTTTAAAGTTCTTGTTGATGAGTCAACTCAAGTGCCCACAGGAGGCCGATTCCCACTCATAAATACTCTTTTAAAGAAGACCTAAAAATCTAGCATTATAAGCACACAGTAATCTTGCTGTTTGGTACTGTGAGTCTTTTCACCAAATGTTTGCAACATTGATTGTACCAATGCCATGTATGCATTTCAGGTAAAGCAAGAAGATTTATACTTGCTGTTGTAAAATTCTCCACTCACTATCATGTCTATACTGTGCTTGCTGTCTTATTAAAGACCCCCCCCCCCCCAGAATTAGATTCTTTGAAGTCATGGGTTTGTGTGATCCAAAGGAGTAACGAGCGATATAGCTCTGGAAAGCTCCTAAATAGCTCTGGTAAACTGATCAAAGAGCCCTAGTAATTGAAAAAAAAACAACATAAAATCACACTTTGTATCACGCCGAATCCTAAAGTAGCTTCTGTGGACAGAAAATCATTTTTTACACTAGTGTGAATGTTTGCAAGAGTGCTTTAAAGGTACTGTGTCCCATTTGCAGGCCCAAAAAATGAAAGTTAAATTCCAACTGCATTTGAAAGATAATACTAATTTAGAACTTCCCCAAAAAAGGCGGGGCTTGAAAATGTCTTCAAGTGGGAAAATAACGACTATTAGTTGTCAAATCAACTTTAGGGCTATAGAGCCCAAAAGTAATAGTCTTGATTTTCAGATAATTGTACCGAATGGTCATACGTTTTATGCTGCGCAAAGATTCTATCAGTTTAATCTTGGCCATCACAAGAAGTGGGTTATTGATGTAGACAAATACTCATGTACCCTTTACAACTCTTTTCATGTATGTTATTACCAAAGAAGAAAAAAAGCCAGTCAGTCACTCAATAGTGTCTGACAGTGAAGTCTAGCAAGTAAACGGGTTTCCTTGCATAATTTGAATATGAGGACACTGCTAACGTTTAAATTTCACAGATAGGACATACATGACATATTCATAATTCCTGCAAAGTTCTACAGAATTTGAGGTTGGCTGCAAAAGGGACATAGTACCTTTAACAGCTCTAGATTTATGTTGGCAGTGCACCACCTCCTGTGTTTATCAACATGAATTCAGAATAGTAGACAGCAAACTCGATGTACATGTATCTTGCCCAAAATTGAGTACTTTTCATGGAACTATCTCCATGCTCCATGTATTGTGACATTTGTCAGGTGAGGGAAATGAATTTGTAATTGACAGTGGTTGATAATTGGAAGTGCCAGTATAACCAATATCTTGTGGTATTTTCTTAAATGTAACAACCTTCAGAGGCAAAAAATGGCAGTGACATTAGCCTATGAATATGTATTATATGTCACATGTACTGTAGAACAAGGGAATGCTTGTACATGTACATGAAGTGTGTAAATTATTTGATCACATCTTCTACACAATTTTAAAAAATTAGTGTTTATGATCTGAGAGCTTGGCAAAGGCTAGTCCATTATTGCCTAACAAACCTTTTCATAGAAAAAATGCAAAAACCTACATTCTGGAAATTTGTGCCAGATATATTTCCTGTGGAGTATAAAGGAAGTTGAATTAAAAAAAAAGGAGGCTGCTGTACATTAGCATTTTTCTTATTCAGTTTCTATCCTATTGCTTGTTGGGCTCAATGTGGAAAAAATGTGTTTGATAAAAACTGTCTGTTTTCAATGTACTTTAGTCAAGTGTGGAGAACATACATGTTCAGAAATGGAACTAGGTTTTACTTTCTGATTAAAATGGTCTTGTATACTTTCATGTTATTCATCTGAATGGTACTTCTTAATTACAACAATCTCATATTCTTTAGTCTTTATGATGTGTTTTGGACTTTGTGATCTTAATTATTTTATATTCTTTCAGCACAATGGTCTCTGTTTTAATAGACCAGTTCATGGTTAGCACATGTCCCAAATGACCCTGAATATCCACATATCTTCAAAACATGAAGAGGTCCCATTTTGTACATTTTTAAATGATCACTCTTACAGTGATGGAGGTGCTACATAATTAGCCTTTGTTTCCCCTTTTCAAAGAATACTTCCACCTGTGTATCATGGAGTGCACTGCTTGTGCATAAACAAATATTGATTACATAATTTTCATGAGCACGTACGTATCCAGTATTTTGTTTCCGTTTATTTCACAACTTGGTTCGCAATGAATTTTATTTGCTCATGCTCAGACTGCAACTATGAACTGGCTTATTAACAATCCTAATTGTATTATTCGTTATCTTTTATGTTCTCAGGAGTTGTTTCTACCTTCAGCGCCAGCCCTCATCACCGGTCTCCAGAACCTGGACGGAGCATTCAGCTCCTCCCCTGGGATGGGAGGAGACTCCTCGTCCGTGGTAACCAGTACCAGTGGAGGCAAGGGAGGAGTAGGGGTTGGAGGAGGGAGCGGAGACGGGCCATGCCAGTGCGAGCCGTGTAGGGAGAGGAGGGAGATAGCAGCTGAGCAGGAGCACTCTCGTCAGCAGCTCGGGGAGTGCTGGACGGAGCTGAGTCACCTGGTGCGCTGTGTCTACTGGGAGGCAGGGACCTCCCTAACAGGTAGGCTGGCTGAACAACCTTTATTAATTTTTATACATGATACAGTCAAACCTGCTTTAGAGACCACCTGTCTACAAAGACCACCTATCTCCAAAGACCATATGTTTTGTTTCCCTAGAAAATGGTTTCTCATTGAAACAAGTACTAAAGGAACCTGTCTACAAAGACCACTTTTTGTGTTTCCCTTGGGCAGTCGCTGTAGACCGGTTTGACTGTGTAACTAAGCTTTACAATCTGCATTTTCTCACTGTATGTTGTTTTATTTACCTGATCACATCATACCTAAATTGATATATTTCACAAAATTAAACACAGGGAGTATATCCTACTAGAGCCAATGTAGCTTGAGCATAGGTATAAACTTGTTACAGGAATTATCCTTGCTCTTGCTATCAACACATGTATCTGTATTACATGAATATGCTGGTATCCTATAACCAGACAGTTTTTCAAAATTGTTAATATGTGAGGGTTGCCATAAAGTATGCCAGCTGTCTGTTTCATATTCTTGAGACAGCTCATGAGATTTTTCCAGCCAAAACTTGTAAACCACGCTGATCGCATTATCAATTAAAAAGGAGCTTGAAGAAAGGCCTTTCACCTCCTCTGACACGCCCTAAAGATAAAGTGGAGTACAGTTCATGCAATTGCATTTTCAAAGAATCTGTCAAGAAGTTATTACATCGTAGGAAAGGTTGATATGTATGCGTAGTACATTGCGAACTTACTACATCGAGCTGAAAATCAGAGTGGAAAAAAAAACCCAAAAAACAACACATTTCCATGTATAGTAGGATTACACTAATGTGGCATCAAATTTGGTCCAAAGTTTTAAAATATGGGGCATTTCAAGAGCCAGCCTTTTGATGTGACATTGCTTCTATGATAACTTCTACACAGAAATAGAAAGAATGAGAAAGTTTACAAATGTTATTTCACCTCTACCACAACTTCATCTTCTCTTTAAATGGTGGTGGCTTCCTATATGGTGCATTTCCATCATGCTCCTGGTGCTCCCACATTATTATCTCAGTCATAGCGGAGCAGCAAGGTATGTTGTGCTCCAGTATATGGGGTATCATTTACAATGTAATAGAGAATAGCAAGCATGTATCACTGCCTTGTCAAAGGATGTTAGTGAAAGAAAAGGACGTTAATGCCAGGCTAGCCTTTGAACCCTCGATGCTTTGATTGAGAGTCAAGTGAATGAACCACTATACCTCGTCACCTCCATTTCAAAAGCCACTTCTTCTGTTATCATTTTTCATAGGTGAGGAGAGCACAACCAAGCTGAGTCTGCCACGCATGAAGGAACTCGTCCATCGTCTCTGCGCCCACGACCCCCATCTACTCTACACGAGGCTGGAGGCGGAGGTGGAGGACTTCATCAAGGAGATGAGGGAGAGGCTCCTCAAGCAGCTAGACGGGGGCTTTAGGACCCCGCCTCTTGCCAAGCAGTTCATCACCATGCTCCTGGAGGAGTACGCGGCGCTATGTTCGGCTGCTCAGACGCTCCTCGCTATCTTAGAAGAGTTGGTGAGTTTTTTTGACAAAGTTAGTAATGAGGAAGTTCTTAGAAGAGCTGGAGTGCAAAGGAAAATGATACGTGAGATGTTGATTACGCAGTTGAAGTTCATGTATCACATTATATGTGAAGAAGGCCTAGAGAATCTTGCTTTGACAGGGAAAATTGTGGGAAGGAGGAGTAGGGGAAGAAGGAGGATACTTTGGATGGACAGTCTGCAGAGAGAGAGGAGTGAAAGAACTGGGAGTGGTACTAATAGAGAAGGCTAGGAGCCGAGGGTTGTGGAACAGCATGATCGCCAAAGTCAATCGATATAATATGACACTTGAGAGAGAGAGTGAATTTTATGTCTTTTCATTGAAATCATGAACTTGGTCAATTGTGATTGGTTTGCTCGTTTGATATTTGCTTTTACCTGAAAGTTTAAAAGTTATCTTAAGTTTCAACCATAGGCAAGTGGAGATTGTTGTTTGCAACAGTGCATTAACCTGGTCTTGAAGACCTTTGCTCTGTCTGCTGAACCACTATGTACAGGTACATCTGTAATGTCTAAAGCGGTTGAATTGATTTCTTACGAAAGAATTTTGTATACCGGTAGCTCCCAATGTACATGTATTCCAAAGCTTCCTGTGAAGACTGCAAAAGAATCAGTCGGTCAATTCAACCAGATCACCCATATAGTTGTCTAGGAATACAAATCTGTGAGTTTGCAGAGTTTAAATATTTCTTGGTCTTTCAGGAGAAGGAGCACCTGCACAAGTTCAACCTAACGTGGCCGCTGCACAACAAACACCTGTTCCACTCCCTGATCTACATGGAGCCGGGTCTTCATGATAATCTGGGCACGCTCATCAAGCAGCTGAGGGCCGTCGCAAGTCAGAAGGAACCCTACCGCGAAGAGAGCTACTCTAACCTACTGCAGAGGTTAGTAGTACCAGTACAAAGATACCTAGGCTGCCTTTTGAATAATATCTCAAAATTAGAATAAATCTATAACACGGTTGAAAAAGCCTTAGAAAATTCAACTCAACAGCAATTTCAATAACTTTTTTTTTTATTGCTTATGGAATATTATGTTCAGATTATATGATATGCTTTCATATTGTTTGACCGTTTCAATTTGTGGTGTATGAGGCTTTTGTTTCGGTTTTACCATCTTTCATATTATTACTGTTATTATATTGTCTGAACATTCTTAAATCAGCAATTATATAACCAATGTATGGATGAATAGTTAAACGAATAAGGATTACATTTTTATTTTTTTCTTTAAATTCTTTTTCTTCATTTTTCCAGATATCTACAGTTTGACAATGACATGTCAGTGGTAGCAGTGGTATGGAGAGACTGCCTGCAGCTTATAGAAGACTATACAGATGAACAGGTAATACAAGACTCTCTCGCTCTTTTACATCACTGAAATATATTCAAATCGTCACTTTAATAAGTGAAATTGGGTGTAGAGATGTAAAGCTTTGGTTTATTTGATCCTCATCACATTTGGTAGTGTTTGGTTTGCTGAGTACTTCAGTGTGCAGTCATTCCCATGTCTCTCAAGACATTGAGCATGTCCGAACTTACATAATGAATACTACTCATGTAAGGCTGCTAGGTATGCACATTTACCATTTGAAACCTTGTGTAACCATCGATCTTTGATTGAGAAAAATAAATAATGACCTCCCATCAGAATTTCTCTTTTCACTCAAGTTGACTAGATTTGAATTTTACTTTATGCATGTGTTCTAAAGAAAGAGAATGTAAAGGCTAGGCAAATCATGGCTGCTTTTTCTTTTGTATTTAAGCTTATTGATGAAGGTCCTTATGTGAAGGTATGAAGTGACAAGAAAATTTACCACATTGTTTGCACAATTTTATTCAGTATGCACATTTTTTTTAAGCAGAGACTTATTATCACCTATCCTTTTCCCATTATCCCTCAGGAGTTGTACAAAGGGAAGGAAGCCCTCAACCGCTCATGGGATACGGGTGTCACGACGACGAGGCCACGCCCACTATCCTGCGAGGCCACCAAATCGACCAATAACAGGAATCTGTTCCAGTGCCACTCAGCATTGATAAATCACATGGCGAATGGAGGAGGGAATCAGGAGAACAATACTAACCACAGAGGCTCCACTAAGAAAAAGTAAGTGATGACATTTTAAAACCTTATCCAGGGCAGCGTCTTACGAAACTGTCGTAAGTACAAGTCCGGCAATATCCCATTGAAATGCATGTATTAAGTTTAACACACGTTTTAATGGGATGTCGGTGAACTTGAACTTCTGAGGGTTTCGTGAGATGCTGCCCTGGGGATTTCTAGTTTTGACAAAGTTGAAATGATCAGGTTGTAGAATTGGAATACCATAGATGAGACTGGACCTATTTGTAATGTTTTGTTGTAAATGACTTTGATGTGGCTGCTTTTTGGTCATGATACATTTTAATTTAACTCTTGAACCACTATTAGAGAAAAAAGGTTAAAAGTTATTATACAACTATAATTGAGAAAACAACAATAGAATGGTACAAATAGTTTTAAGGGGCAAACAAAAGATTTGAAGAATTTTTGTGTGTGGATGTTGAGCCTCCTAAATATTACAATAAAATGTGAGAACAAATGCTAGGTAATTATCCCCCTTAGTCCAAGACAAAGAGCTATAACTATCGTTTTTTGTCTTCAGGTGCCTGTGTGATGACTGCAGTCTAAACAGACTGACCTCCAGCCTCTTGACCCCCGACCTCTACGAAGAGATTGGTCTGAAGCTGAACGAGGCAGCGCCCGGGGGCCAGCTGTCAGCCCTGGATACCTACCTTCAGTCCATCAATCCGCCTGACCTGTCTTCCACCACCTCCTCATCGGATTGCTCTTCCCAAGGCGACAGTGAAGACGTCATCCCTATCTTCTCTCGTAGTGATCTCATTCACTCCGGGTAGGTCACTTCATCTTCTAATCCACAATGCAAAAATCATAATAATTATAATAATAGTAATGATAACATTATACGGTTTTATTTACTCAGAATAGCCTCATTAGTATTAAAACCTTTGTGAAGTCAGTAAGATTACATCTCAAACATTCTAATCATATCATCTCACTATCCTGATTTACAGCTTCTGTTCTCCAAGAAGCGATGACTCTGACGACTCGGACGACCTAGACTCTGAGTCGTCGCCTTCACCGTCCCATGAGAATGCCTTTGAAGATGAAGATGACGACGGAGAAGGAAGACCGAATGAGAACTCTTCAAGGAGGGGCAGGGCGAGGTGTAGAGCATCTTACTCTGGTGGTGGGGACAGACAGAGCAATGGTGGTGGTGATGTCAAAAAGGTGCGTTTGAGTTTCACATCCTTCTTAGTCAAGGAAGCTCTCATATTTTGTTGCAAAATGCATTCTTCAAGGTCAACTGCCGAGGTAAAAGAGTTGATTCTCTGTAAAATGATATCAGTTAATGCTCATGTAGCTCTCAGCAGTTGAAGTGTTTCAGAAGAATGAAAGCAAGTTGGAAACAAAGACTATGAAGCGTGCAGTCTCATGTAATAGAGCTCAAAACAAGTACCTAAAATGCTTTTTTGGGGGTATAGGTTGTATAAGAGAAGAGTGTACTTTGAGAAACGTTTGCCCACATTCGATGATGTAGAGATGACGCAAGCAATCTAACTTTGGACGAACACTAATTTTTTCTAAAAATGTCTATTGTTTTTGTAGTCTATTGATACAGTCTTTGCGAATTGTTTCATATTCTTTAATGGATCAGATATACATTAGCAGTCATTCAAGTTGAGATAATATGAGTCACTATTGTTGGCGTTTGTGTCAAATCCAATGTTTTTTCCATCTTTTTTTTGCTAGGATTCCAATATTTCCAGTAGTCAGCCATGCGAGTGTCATGTATGTGCTGCCAACAGTCCACACCTTCCTGCTGCTGCCATGATGGCGGGCAATGTCGGGGACACCAAACCCTCGTACCTCTTCTACCCCAACCTCCAGACCCACCAACCACTAGACCTCAGCCACCCGGGCATCTCGGCCAAACACCCTCTCATCCACCCCCATCTCTACAACCTGACCTCTCAGAAACCCAACAAGATCCCCAACCACTCCCAACAAGCATTCCAGCTCAACCTCGACGCATCCGACGGGCTTCAGAACTACGGCGACTGGAACAGTGCCTACGAGAGCGCCAAGATGGTACTTCACACGCATTCTCACTCTCACTCTCACTACGGGCACGACGAGGCGCCAGACCTCATCCAGAGTGCAAAAGCAGCGATCCAGTCCAACTGCCGCGCGGAGAAGAGCGAGAACCGTTCAGCTAAGATAGTACCAGTACACCAGGGGCATCACAACTCTGAAGGGAAGACGACCAAGGAAGAGAAAGGGAAGAAGCATAGCCATGACGGCTCTGGGTCAATCAGCAATGGCATCAGCGAATGGACCAAGCAACAGAGACTAGGGCAACACCTCCACAATGACAAGGGCAAGAACTCTAGTCTAGTCGCCCAGGAGCTGTGTGCCAAGCACAATTTCCCGACAGTACCGAAGCTTCCCAACAACAATATGTTCATCTCCCCAGCCCTTCTCCAGGGTACCGATGCAACGAGCGGAGCGGTGACCCAGGAGAGTCTGGCGCAGTTCAGCTCCGGGGTTCTAACCCAGCAGGCTCTTATGACCCAGGGCATGCTGGCTGCTCAAGGGGCGGGGCTGCAGCTGCAGAATGCAGGCATTCATGTGGCTGATGTGCACCATCTCCAACAGCAGCAGCAGCAGCAGCAGCAGCATGTGCCAAGTGATGGCAAGAAGAAGAAGAAGAGTCAAGGTTGTGGGGAAGAGACGTTACCTACTGAACCCACAGTCAGATTACCTGGTAAGTTTACACTTTGGATGTCCCGTATTTATTGTTTTAAGTCCAGTAGTTCTTTACTTCTGCTCATAATCTGCTGTTATGATAATGACTTGTTGGCATGAAATTAGCATCAAGTGAAGTACAATACATACCGACATTTCTTCATGGAACACCACATACAATGCATGCAATTTTAGTTTTACTCTTATTAACATTCACACATTTAAATGACCTTGATTTCAATCAAATTGGCACATAAAGGCATAGCTTGAAGGTAGATCTAGGCCTTGTATTTTAGAGAGGGCAGTTGTGCTCAATGAACAAGGCAATGCACAAATATCTGCTAGCCCCTTCCTGGAAAATTTGAGCCAAGCAAAGCTTTTACTTTATTATGAGTATGACTTTCATACAGTGTCCTTCAAGCTCTAATGTCTTTCAAAGTCAAGTCTCTCCTTATTTAAAGCCCCACTGTACTACTTATAGCTACTTGCGCCCTCTATATAGCAAACAATGCCTAATTGGTGACCATTGGTTCCCATGATCCCCTTTTTCTTATGTTAATTGAGAGCTGATTTGATGAGATAACCAACTGTCAGTGACCTTGCAGGGTGGTCTAATACTTCCAGTAAACTAGTACAGATGGGCTTTAATCATGTTTCCTTTTGATTTCCTCTTCTCCAGATTACCTGAACGAGCAGCACCTGCACGCCTGCTCCCATCAGAACCAAATCTCCCATCCATCCGGTGTCTTGGGCGGCAATGCTGGCTTGTGTAATAGCTCCATGCAGACTACGGCTAGTACCCCAACCTCGGCCAGTGTCTGCAGGTATGTACTGCACTCAGACAACGTCCATTACTCACAATAACATGATACAGTCAAACCTGCTTTAGTGACCACCTGTCTACAAAGACCACATTTTTTGTTTTCTTTAAAATGGCTTCTCATTGAAACATGTACTAAATGAACCTGTCTACAGAGACCTCTTGTTGTGTTTCCCTTGGGCGGTCGCTATAGACAGGTTTGACTGTATTACCATATTTACAGTCAAACACACTTATACAAAACCACTCAAGGGAAACAAGAAATGTTGCCTTTGTAGCATGGGGTCTTTCTGTGTAGATGGTCTTCCTGTGCAGATGGTTGCTGAAGCAGTTTTCATTGTGTTTTGATTGTTGAGATTCAAACTTGTTTAACTTCTTTAAAATGTAACAATATTTAATAACAGATGGAAACATTGAATTCAATTAAACTAAAAGAACAGAATTTATATAAATTATCTTAAACCAAGTATAGATTACAACACCATCTGCTGGGTACCGCAAAGGTGTAAGCTCAATGTTAAGGGTCAGAGTTACCGCCTCTTGAGTTCTCAGATGGTATAGTGTAAATGAACTGAAAAGATGAAAAGTTACTCGATAAGTCGAAAATGATAGTATGTCTTGTTCATATGAACCCATGACAAATTATCAGCTGTTGACAAAAAACTCTTCACTTGTGTTACTTTGTCATGACCATTGCCACAACCATAAATCTGAGCATCACTTTTTTTCTATCAATGTCTTTCTGTCTAACAGTAGTGAGCCAGACTACGAAACACCAAACTACCAACATGACGATGACACGCCCAGTAACTATGACGACAAGGACTCCAACGCATCCAGCACTACGAGGGAGAGGGAGTCTAAACATTGTGAATGCTGCTATTGTGAATTCTTCGGTCAGGGGGTAAGTGGAAAATGTTATCTTAAAAAGCCCCACTGCACTACTTATAGCTAATTGCGCCCTCTATATAGCAAACAATGCCTAAGAGGTGACCGTTGGTCCCCCATGGTCCCCTTTTTATTCTTATGTTAATTGAGAGCTGATTTGATGAGATAACCACCTGTCAGTGCAGGGAGGTCGAATTCCTCCTGGCCAAACTAGTGCAGAGGGGCTTTAAGCCTGTATTCTTGAAAGTGGTGCGAGGCAAACCTGGCTAAAATCATTTCACTGAATCATGGAAGACTTCTTGTCAACCTTTCCATTCCATACAAATCATTGTAGTTATATGAAGAGCTGAATAAAAAGAGAATGTAATTGTAGGTCTTTTTCTTGCATATATTTGTTTCCTGTTGTTTTTGTTAATTTCTCCGTCATGGTTGGTGCCCGAACCACAAGTTTGTTTTCAAACTTCTTCAGGGGCTCCTAACCCCATGTTTTTATATTTTCATGAATTATTGTATATGTATTTTTTATGGTTGAATAAATTGAAATTGAAAATTGAAATTGTGTTGTCTTGGACAAAAGATACACTATTCTGGGTAGAGATGAAATGTCATTTGCAAACCTATTTACTTATAATATATTTTGTCAACATCAATTTCTTTCTATTCTACCCTTAGCCTCAACCTGCCCCAACGAGTCGAAACTACACAGAAATCAGAGACAGGCTGCGACTAAGACTAAGAGAGCGAAAGGTAATCTATAGTTGTTATCATTAGCATGAAATACTTTCTATATCAAAAAGGAAATCAGCATATCGACTGCTGAGAGCCTGGCTCTCAACAGATGATGTATACTGCATTCAGGCCTTCATGTAAAGCCTACCTGTGAGCGCCATGTATGGACTATTAAAAAAAAAAGCCAGGAGCTATGTGGCTTCCATGGTGCCACGACGACGAGACTGCCAGTCACTCACTAGTTAAGATCCTTGTATCACAAAAATGGCTCTTACGTGATGATCACAGCTAGGCTTTATGCTAAAATTATAACTAGAGTTATGCAATGCTTATACATGCCTATTGATTGAATGAATATATAATCAAATGTGCTGTAATAAAATTAGCACTAGGGTTTCAACAATAGCGAGCTAGACTTTTCTTACATATACATGTACCAACTAGTACAGCTTCATGAAATTCATTTAGACTTTTGACCATTATTAATTTTTTTAATATAATGATTCAATTTTAGTCCCGACAGAACCAACAAATATTTTTTCTTCAACTCTAGTGACTGCATCCCAAAGATTACTTGCCTTCTTTTGAACTTGAAATTCATTGTGAAGAGATTGTTGTTTGATCACTATGAAATGATTTTCATGTCAATAAACTATTAGCATCTTTTAAAGTAAAATGTTGATTCAAATAATTCATATTTTCTATTTTTATGGGAGATTTCATGTTCTTGATGTGGAATTTATGAAAAGTCTAAAATACTTGAATTTTTGCTTTTGATTATATTTCAAAATAAGGCTACAAATGGCTCTCCATAATATTTAAGTCCAGCTTAGAGTTAAATTCGACTTTGGATCTTTGTGAAACACCCCCTGCATGTAATGTTCAACTGTAGTCGTATCTAACCCTATTGCCTTCACTACCGCAGCCCAAAGACCATTCGCCTTCCCATGAGCCGCCAATCCAACCTCCCAATGACCTGCTACATGCGGACGAGCGCAAGGTAGAGGACTTACTCTCCTTCATAGAGGGCGCTAAGAAGACCAAGAGCAGCTCCAAGGCGGCTAAACGGCAGCGGCAGAGACAGAAAAAGGTGAGCTCCTCAGTTTTTCTTGTTCGGTCAGCCCATTTCGTAGTTTGCACCAGTTTGTGCCAGTTTGCACCAGTTTGCTTCTGAGTAGACAAAAAGTCATGCCTATCAAAGTGCGAAATTCTGTATGGATCAATCAGCCTTTTGTAGGTGCCCCAGCTTACTTATGAGTGGTTATGTATTAGAAAGGTTACGTATGACTATGAGAAATGTGAAAACCACAGAGTTGAAAGACAGATAAGCATTTGAGAAAGTTGTTATACCATTATTACATACATGAAAAAGCAAAAGACACCTAAGTGAGGTAAGATTGGTTAATACATAGGGAAATACAGTATTCCATTGTTAAGTTTTCTTTGGGGGGAGGGTCGCTTGGAATATTTATTAACTCTGATAACTCAAATAGTTAATCTATATATCATTCCTGCTTCTCATGATACTTCATGTAATTTATCAGTATATCATGTCTGTAATTCTTAGCCTGTTTACTCATTCTCAAAACTTAACTTTTTGTATTATACAAGGATGTGTTTAATGGCATATATAGCTTTCTACCGTCTCTGTTTGCTACATCCAGCTCTAGACACACCAAAAAGAATAAATGTTTCTGATTGTGGGTAATGATTGCTCATTAAAATCCAATATGTCTTTCTGTTTTCTTTAATGTCTGAACAGGCTGAGCAGAAGTCCAAGAGTGTGCCTGATAACGGTCACAAGAAAGACATCCATGTCCCTGTATTTTCTCACCATCACTTCCATCACCACCACCACCATCATATGGAGCTTACCAGAGAGAAGCAACTTGAGGCAGCATCACAGCACAACACCCACTGCAAGGCGCAACCTTCCCATCCAACCAAACAACTACATCAGGCACCTGCCAAGCAACAATCCCAGTCTCGAGAAACCCAGCAGTCAGAATCTAAATCCGTACCCACATCCAAGGGTCAACCCAGACCACAATTGGACCAAAACACCAGCTTGGTAGCTTCTCAACCTTCGTCCATGCCGATGACCTCTTCTTCTTCACCATCATCATCGGAGCTGTCCAAGCAAGCTTCCTCAAACTCCCGAGCAGTGCCAATGGTGACTTCTCAGGAGATCGTCCCCAAAGATGACAGTACCAGCAAGAAGGGCAAAAGCTCTGGAGCAACCCAACCGCAAGTCCAGGCTAATGCACTGTCATCGAACGCTGGTAATAAGAGCGTAGAGAGTAAGGCCAAAGGTAAACAGAATGGAGCTGGGAAGCAAGGCCCATCGTTGGCTCATCCTGCGGAGGCTAGCACAGAGGGCAGAGGAAAGGCAGATCAGGATACAGGGAAATCCGCCAATAGACGTGATCAGGGAGCCAGCAATAAGACAGGCAGCCAATCATCACAGCAGAGACTCACCCAGAACCAGAAGCAACAGCAGCAGCAGCAACAGAAGACTGACAAGATGTCTAGACATGACACCACTAATGCATGGAAGACACCTACTACAGGAGGACAGGAGAGGTTACTCAATGGCAATGCTAGTGACAGCAGCAGTGGCAGTAGCAGCAGGTCTAACAGTGTTGGCAACAAGAGCATCAACAGCAGGACAAAGCAGGTTGGGGCAACTTCCACCAACATTGATGATCCCCATTTGAAGAAGCAGGCTAATCTCAAGCCCTCACAGGGTACAGCGATGTCAGCAGCAGCACAGGGTAATCCAAAGGCCACTGCCACCATCCACACCAAGAAGGCCAACCAGACTTCCAGCAGCCTCAAGGAACAGCTTCCACAGAAGATGGAGGAGACAGCCACTGCCAGACTCGCCAGCAAGCGATCAGAGACCAATCACAAAATGGACACCAGGACGTCACATAACGGGGGTGGCCATGAGCAGATGACAAATGGAATTGCTCTGTCCAATGGAAGTAGCACCACCAACAAGAGGCGCAAGAAAAAGAAGAACTCTGACAATCCAAATGCATCCATTGGTGAGTTGGTCCAAAGTTTAAATTCTCATTAGTTTCATGGGATAATTCAACCACTTCCAACTTTACTTACAAACAAAAGAATAGGTGAACAGGTTATCAAAGTGAACAGTGTACTGGGGCGTTACCATAAGCACTGAGACTCATTGGTTTGATTTCTTTAAATGGTTGATTGTAACATGTATAAATGGAATAGTTGTGATTGTCATGAATGAAAAACTAGTACATGATAATCGATGAAATTTATTATATGAAATATATGTCGATATACTGTTTACCAAAAAAGTGAGGAACAAAGATAGAAACAAAAATGAGAATAAGAGTTACAATGACATGAGAAAAATCAGCAAAAAAGTTCTTCAGGGATTTGATAAAAAGTATAAAAGATTGTAAATGACTGCATCATGTGTTTCTTTACATAGATAAGGTCTTATGTTTGACTAGCGAATGTGAACAAACATTGTTGATTTTGATTCCCTTCACAGATGAGATATTCCTCCCCAAGGAGAATGTTGACGTGAATGAAATGGACGAGACTGAGAGAGAGCTAGAAGCCTTCAAAAGGTGAATATAACTACCCTCCCCTAACACTTGCACCCTGCTGTTCAGTCATGTCTCAAAAAGGATTGTACAGTCAAACCTGCTTTAGTGACCACCTGTATAGAAAGACCACCTGTCTACAAAGACCACATTTTTTGTTTTCCTTGAAAATGGTTTCTCATTGAAACATGTACTTAAGGAACCTGTACTTAAAGTCCACCTGCCTATAAAGACCACTTTTCTTGTCTCCCTTGGGTGGTCATTATAGACAGGTTTCACTGTACCAGACAGTCTGTCCTATAATCTCACATATTATTTCGTCTGTCATCCCTCTTGCTTTCCAATACACACAAATAACACAATAATACACTTCAATTATTGTGGAATAGCCTGACAACGACTACTGAGAGCCGGCCGTTTATTCAGTATGAATGTTTAACAAACATTTCTTCTCGTTTCCTTCACTGGAAACCGTTTCCTTCACTGGAAACCGTTTCCTTCACTGGAAACCGGACCTATCATGGTCCAGGATAAAAAACCAGAGATAAAACTCAACGAGCATAAAAACTCTGGAAAACCTTATTCAAACACAGTCATGTAACAGTACATGACACAACGCACTTTTATTGTAAATAAAAGTTGTCTCGTTGAAAGCTCAAGCTAGAATGATTCAATTACAAACTAATTCATGCCACGCCCTGGTCTCCGTGGCAGAATTAGCTCGCACACCTGTACGAGCTGCTTATGCAAATTACATTCCATCGGGGCACAGCCCCGGACCCAACATAAGTATGCATTCATTAACGATACAAACAACATTTGTCTGCTATACAATCGTACCGCAGACAAATAATAGTCTGTCCTATAATCTCACATATTATTTCGTCTGTCATCCCTCTTGCTTTCCAATACACACAAATAACACAATAATACACTTCAATTATTGTGGAATAGCCTGACAACGACTAGAATTCAAAGAACGGGAGCAAAAGAGAACAGAAGAGAAATAAGCAATCTAAATTTAAGTCATGCCAAATAGACTCCTAGTTAAATATATTTTAACATTGTTGAATAATAATGGCATTTCTATAGCGCCGTCTATCGAGAAATCCTATTCTGAGGCGCATTAATTATTACCCCGGCCTTACTCTTGCTGCCGTATATTACAGAGCCTCCAGCATCTCCAGGAACTAATTCATGCAAGGTATCCATTTACTTCACCTGGGTGTACTATAATGAAATCTGAAAGTTAGTACCCAACTGACAAACGAGTCCAATTTGGACTAAAACCACAAGCTCGCTCGTTTAAACTTGTTACCTTGTTTGAATACAACCGATTCTAAAGTCTTAGCATATGTTTCAGGAACTTGCCTTTCCCACTTAATACATATGCGTACAGAACACTGTCATTGAATAATTTGATTCATAACCATGACATTCTAGATCCGAAACGTTCTCTTTCAAGAAAAAGTTGAAATTCGAACAAAAGCTCGTTATAGTCAAATATGAACAGGCAAACCTGTGTACGAGACAAGACCTCGTTTTCTTTGCCCTTCTTTTGATAATTTTTAAAATCATGTCCGTAAGATGAAAACACCATCCATGCTAATAACATGTCATTAAATTCAATTGACACAACTCTTTGTTCCGGCAACACTTTGTTGGTGGTAAATAAAACAGCGACAACAAGAACGAGTGTTAAATCTGCACAAAACATATTCATCTATTGACAAAGAGAAACGATACATGTATGTATAAATCTACTGCTGTTACAAATCCTCACGAATAATTGAAGATTCCTTGTAAAATAAAAACACGAATTTCACTACCTACGTATATTTGCGGTCTTCTTTAAACCAGCTCTGTGGAAAAATATCTTTTGTAATTTCTCCCAATCAAAGCTTATGGAATAAATTGTATCACTTACATCCAAATGAATATCATGCATTTTGCGTACCTACGCTCACTTGCAGGTCAATCCAATTTTCGCCCAAGGCACAAACATGTTCTGAGAATGAACAAAGCAAAAATTATGCTTATCCTATATTTATTTAGCTGCACGACACTCTGTGCTATTTCTCAAATCTAACAGAAAAAGCCCTTTTCACAATTCCAAAGACTTAACGACCAATAATTTGTGCTCCAAACTATCGTCAACATTGCCATCTTTTGACTTCTCACTGCTCCTTCGCCCGTGCCTCTTCCAAAGCCTATTTGACACGGAAGCTCTGGCCTCCGCGGTAGCCCCTCCTGCTCTGAGGGAGTAGGCCCAAATTAAACTAGCCTCTTCCACGCATACCTTCCACAAACGAGCAACAACTGCCTCATATGCACTGGTATAACTTGACCGTTTGCTTTCTATGACAAACTCTTATTACCTTTGTTCCAATAAACTGGTCTGAATTGAATTTGTCAGATTTCTTGGAAATACCTTCCTTTGCCACATATGTTCTCGTAGAATTTCTACTGGACAATTAAGTACTTCATTAACTATTACTCATCAAGATGGTATTGCGCCTGCGATACTGATCTGACTTTCACTTCTCCGCCAACATATTACGGATAAATATGAGCTTTCAAACACAATGTCAGAAACGAGAATATAAACGAGATCTCTTAAACATTCAAACATCATCGCAACCTCCGTACTTATTGCATAAATCACTGAAAAAAAAACGCCGCGTCCTTCTTGACGACGAGTCTTGAACGTCCCTTCTCCCCTTTGCTTCGGCTCCGAAGATTGTCAAGCCATGACGATAAGATTCTCAGATCAAACCCTCGCTTTGTCCACCGCACCATGTATGGCCTTCTTGACTCCTAAACCTGGAGAGTGTAAATAAAAATAACATGGTACAACTAAAAGTCTTCAATGCGACAAGCATAAATCTGCTTCGAGGGCTTCCAAAATTTCAGTTTTGGCCCTGCATCCTCCTCACCAGAGGGCAATATTTCAAATTCTTCAATAAAATGAATAGAACTCATCACCATCCCAAATCATGGGCCCAAATGAAGCAGACTTCAAATATGGGACTATATCAGTGAGCCCTTGCTTTTAATATCCGGCACCAATTTATCAACAGTTTTGGCAATGAATCGGGGTGGTGGTACCTACCCACCAATCGATATCTCACTCTCAACTCTGAGAAAAAACATCCATACAACTTTTCCCATTACACCATCTGGAATTAAACTTCCTACTTTTGGTATTATAATGACAAACAATAATTATTCTGTCAAACACATGAGTCCCCCACTTCTGATCAAGCCTATGTTACAAGCCTCAGTTTACATATGCCAGTCGTCACTGTCTGACGTCCTACTCAATCTATCAACCTGCCTGTTCTCACGTCCAAGCCGGATACATTTTTACATTGTTTTCTTCACAAACAATTCGTATTTCCAAAGCCTTTTCTGGCAGGCGGAGTTACCACTCCATTTTATTACGATATCCACAACATTCTTGTTGTCCGTGTACCAGCGTACACTTCGCCCTTCCAGGCGATGCTCGAACAATACTTGCCGTTCTCACGACGGCTTCGAGCACTCTCCACGAGGAGCTTTGAATCTTCTCAGACTCGGACCTAACTCCCATGAGTTCTATGTTACTATTTAACTTGTCTACACTCAATCTATCAACCTGCTTGTTCTCACGTCTAGATACCCAAGCCGGATCAATTTTTACATCGTTTTCTTCACAAACAATTCGTATTTCCAAAGCCTTTTCTTGGCAGGCGGAGTTACTACTCCATTTTATCACGATGTCCACAACATTCTTGTTGTCCGTGTACCAGCGTACACTTCGCCCTTCCAGGCGATGCTCGAACAACACTTGTCGTTCTCACGACGGCTACGAGCACTCTCCACGAGGAGCTTTGAATCTTCTCAGACTCAGACCAAACTCCCATGAGTTCTGTGTTACTATTTAACTTGTCTACATTTCCCCTGCAAAAAACCGAACCCTGCCAGCATATCTCATGTTTACCGAGATAGGAGCATTCCAACTCTTTCTGTTCACACACTTGAACAACTCCCTTGTCTTTAATAGACCAGTTCACGGTTATCCACGGATCCTCAAAAAATGAAGAGTTTCCACTTAGTACACTTTGAAATAATCACTCCAATAGCGATGGAGGTACTATATAAATAGCCTTTGTGTCCCCTTTTCAAAGAATTCTTCCACCTGTGTATCGTGGAGTGCACTGCTTGTGCATAACATGAATAATGATAACATCACTTTCATGAACAATATTCAGTATTTTGTATCCGTGTATTTCACAATTTGGTCTGCAATGACCTTTATCTACTCATGCTCGGACTGCAGCTATGAATTGACACACCGATTATCCAAACACGATGTGCATTGACACTATCTTTCCAACTACCTTCGCTAGAGACCTAACGAGCCAAAAAAAATACCAGACCTTCGATCTTTAGAAATTATAGTGGAAATAGAAACCTTAAAATCGGTTAATGCGTTTCTTTGCGATTCGCACTCGTTCGTTCAGAAAATCCCAATTTAGTCCTAGCCAGGAAGTATCGCCCACTGACATTTTTCTTCAGCAAGAAGAAGACCTAGACCTCAGGTTCCTTTAGCACTGAGACACGTAGAGAAACAGCCCCTTTCCTGCTGTCATGCCCTGCAATTCCGTGTTCAAGAAACATGATTGCATTATGACCATGACCACGCCAATAACTTGACAACAAATCTCATCACTTTTAATGGTGAACACATACCCCGAGGTAGAAATGCCCAAAAGTAAAACGTTGAAAACGTGATACCTTATTTCACCGAAACCCCAGGCAAAGCCTAACATATGGCTTTCCACATTGACCATACCAATGTGAAGGTATTAATGCCAACTTTAGGCCGAACGTGAACACATAGTCACCCTTTTTATCTTTCACAATTAAACATCTTCATGTTTCTCTTTGTATTAATTGAGATTGACGCTCCTTCAATCTCGAACTTATCTGCACTGTCCTTTGTAATCGGACACAGAATTTATTACAAGAAGTCTCTCTTCAACTTCGTTAATTCATTTTCTACTCTATTAATACCTAAATGAGATGTAAAGGGAACTCGTACCCTTGATCTACTATCACAGACGTATCTATCAGCAATTTTCTTTTTTCTCCCCGAAAACAATTTCCTTCTTCTCTCGTAGTCTCCCTACAGGAAATGGTATATGCCAGCTACGAAACTCGTTTCACACTCCAATGCACGATGATCTTTACTTTCCTTCAACCTCCTCCTCTTATTCAGTTATACAATCCTTCTCTACCAATTTACCCATCTCTCTCTAGACATATTTCGAATGGTCTTTGGCAGAAAGATTATAGGGCAAATTAATCCCTAAAGGAGTTGAATGTAAGAGTAATTTGTACCCTTGTTCGATTATATCAGACATAATTATCAGCATGTATATATATATCAATACATTTTCCAACATTCCTTCTTAATTTTCTCGTAGTCTCCTACAGGAGGTGCCATTTTGACAGTTACGAAACTCATTTAACACACCGTTTTAGTACATGGAGAATCTTTCCTTTTCGTATTACCTATAGTCTTCTTCTTTACCAATCTACCAGTCTCTCTCTCTCTCTCTCGAGACAAACCTTTCCAGAAAGATTATTGGGTAAATTAACCCCTATAAACGGGTGAATGTAAGGATAATTTTACTTAGCTCTGTATTGTAAAGAAGATAAATGAAGACCTCTCTGTCGTCAACTCTCCAATGCCCTGCTTTTCCACACGAAAAACACGAAAAACACGATCCCGGCTTTCTGATTGCTATTAATATAGCTGCTGAAAAAACTTCTTAGAAGTCAACGAATCGGGCTGGCCTGGCAGTCCCGTTTGGTTGTCTCGCATGTCCGCGTTCACGAGATCGACAACCTCGGTCGGCTCCACGGTAGTTGTCTCGTTGAAATCTCAAGCTAGAATGATTCAATTACACACTAATTCATGCCACGCCCTGGTCTCCGTGGCAGAATTAGCTCGCACACCTGTACGAGCTGCTTATGCAAATTACATTCCATCGGGGCACAGCCCCGGACCCAACATAAGTATGCATTCATTAACGATACAAACAACATTTGTCTGCTATACAATCGTACCGCAGACAAATAATATTCTTCTGCAACAAATGCTCCGCAGTCAATTTTTATACGCTAACCAAATTCCTAACGTCAGCCCTGATCCAAGCATGTTACCTGACGGTGACCATGACCCTGATCCTAGAGTTGACCTAAAACCGTATTTCAACTGCAACCCTAACCCTATGTCTTTGACAAAATTTAGCTGAATTAATTGTTGCAGGAGCAAATGTGGGCTCACCCACAAAATCTGCCTTTCCAGTATACCTCAAATATTCTAGATGGGAATTGTTACCTTTAAACTTTATCATGGCCTTTTTTTAAGCCAAGTTATTATATCCTTTTATTTAGAAAATGTCTTGTAGAATAATTTGCTGCAGTGTGGTTTACTGATGCAGTTAATCTTCTTAAGTATCCACCTGTCTATAAAGATGTTTTTTTTTTCCCCCTCAAACAATTTTTTTCATGGAAATTTGCACAAACAGAACTTCTACCTAAACACAACCTGCAAGCAAAAGCCTGATATTTCTTTTAGCTCTTTTGAGATATTGTACGAGATATTTCCTCGGGCTTCATTCGCTCTAATATTGTGATAATCGGCTGTAATCACTTTTCTTCGGCATATAATGAATGTTAAGCACAGTAGACACTGATCTACAATGTAACTGCTATCTGATCTTCTAAGAATTCCCAATGATATCAGATATGGAAATTTGAACAAAACATACTCTTCCTGAATAATTTTATTATTGTCAGCTTCAAATCCTAGATAAAATTGTACACAATTGTACGACTTGTCAAATGTCACTATGATTCAGAGCCTATTTTGACTTTTTCTATTACAAGCTAGCTTGGATTCCCCTGCTTTTTCTATTGTTCTATTCAATTGACTATTCAGAATTCGATCTTTAAGAATTTGGACGCTTCAATGCTCATATCAAATGCCTCAAATTCTTCTGTAAATTGGGTTGTAGTTGGGTTGTGCAGTGTGGGTTTATTTGGGAGCAAAGTAATAAATGGTGTAAAATAGGTACCCGGTAGGATGCGACAGTCATTGTTGGTCATACAGTTTTTGAGCGTCAAGTAACGCCTGGATTGATCCCCAGGGAGTGGAGATTGTGCACACAGTGTGTGCGGGCAAGTATTGAATCCAAAGGTTATGGTAATATTATACCTGTAAAAAGTGCTTAGAGACATTTGTATTAAGCTCTATAAAAAAGATGAATATTATTATTATTATAACCTTTGTCTCTTTGTTTGTTACTTGCTCTCAGGTTCTGCATGGCCTCCACTCCCCAGGAGAAGAAGGAGAAGGTGGTCTTTAACGTCAAGGACCTGTCCCTCAAGAAGAGCAGCCTTCAGGCCCACTAAGAGAAGAGACCAGAACCATCATTCCATACATTTACCAACTAGACCAAGACAATAGGCCCAAAGCAACATGTTCACTTCTATCAACCAAGATGCTAAGATATTCTGCACTTGTGATATGGCCCAAAGACTCGAAGAGTGCGACCCCAACGAACTGTCACCAACTAGACCAAAACAATGGACCCAAACCAAAATGTTCACTTCTATCAACCAAGATCTTGCACCAATGCTAGATATTTCACACTATTGATATGGCCCTAAGACTTGAAGAATGCATCCAACTAGACCAAGACAGCAGGCCCAGAGCACATTCATCCCTTCTATTCGGGAATGGTTCCAAGATTTAGATAGCACTGATGCCAGTAATCTTCAGCACTATTGATATGGCCCCCAAGACTGGAAGAATGCACCAACATACAGTCACCAACTTGATTGAGACAATAAACCCAAAATGAACCGATCACTCCTTTAGCTGTAAAGATCTAGCTAAGATCTAGCATTAATTCCAGTCATCTTCCAACATCTTTCATACAACCAAAAGAATTAACATGTACCGGTACTCCTCAATACTTTAGTACTAATTTGACCAAGTCCACAGGCCCAAAATGAATTCCTCTTTGTTTCTTTCCCTGTTCCAAGATCCCCAAGTCTAACCACCACCACCAGCAGCAGCACTAATTCAAATTATTTGCTCAATCTTGATATAGCTCCAATACTTGAAAAATGCATGTGACTTCTCTCTCTCGATTAGGATGTATCATTCGGCTGTGCAATACATGAATAGCATACATTTTCTCAGAAGGGCATTGACTCATGTAATTTTACATCAAGTTAAAACCCTTTTGACTCCAAAACAGATGGCATTGAACATATAACAAATTGTCAGGTACTTGAATTGTGATACGATAATAGGTATGAAGGTTTGGAGCAGTAAAATTGCTTTCAGGTGCACATAGCTACGGTAGACATTTCCTGTTAAAAATAGTGATGACAGCACATTGACTTTGGTATTGTTGCCATGGAAATTGTGACAAGATGAAGAGCTGCAGTTTAGTAATTTCACAGATACTAAATTTGAATGACAATCAATTATTGTAATGTCCGATGAGGTTCGCAATTCTAGAAAAGAAAATAGGTATTTATTTTAAAAAGATGACCGCTTTGAAAATATTGAGCACTTTTAATCTAGGTCAGACTTCAAAATGACAATAATGACTAGGCCGATTTGTGTGAAGATCTGGAAAGGGAGACAGATAATGTGCATAGTGGTGACAAGTGTAAGAGGGAAGGGGTTGGATTGAATTTGCTTTACTGCTGCATCTGTCGCAAGACATATGAGAAGAAATAGTGTTGAGTTGCAGTGTGCCCACACAAGGTTTTCAATGATTTACATTCGACGATAGACTTGTTGAGTAGTTTGAAATTGAAGAAATAGGAAGATGCAGTTTGGATGGATAATTTATGAGGTTGTGTGTTCAGGAGGTTAACAGCAAATAATAGACTGTCGTCTTGTAGCCAGGTGTACATTGTTGATTTGGTTGTATTACCACTCTGTGTTTGAGAGGTGAATTGTGATGAAATGAAGCAATGGAATACGATGGTGATGTTTATTATACAGATAGAAAGAGAGAGATTGGGACATTGAAGTATAGACATTGGTGCATCAAATATATTTGCCTGAATCCCCTTGGGAAATCAAAATGTGCCGATTGGCTAGGAGACGAAACCCTTAATTGATCCAAATTATGAGGAAGCATTTCATTCCTATGGATTGTATCCCTTCCCCCTCCTTACAGCGGTGTGCCTCTGCTTCATGCTATGGGCAAGTTGATGGGAAGGTCTCTTGGTACAATCTTGTGGCAGGGTGACATTTTGTATTACGACTATTGTGGTAAACACATACTTTCGCAGTCGGGTAGGGTTGAATCCACTTCAGCAAATGTGAAATGGAATTTGTTACACCACACGTGCAGGTGGAGTTGAAATTATAGATAATTAAAGAAGTGAAGCAATTGATGAACAGGAAGATAGAAAGTGGCAAATAAGATACTGGTAACAAATTACAAATGTTTTGTTTCACTCAAACATGCTTGCACCTTTAGAAGATGATCAAGAAAAACCAGAATCATAATATTTCCTGAAGAAAGAGGAAAACAATTTTGGTCTATAATATGTGGTTGGTTAGTTGGTCTATAATGGAAATCAATATTTGAATTTTTTGATAAAGTGATTAGCAATGCAAAAATTGAATATTACACAGACACCAATTTTAGAAAATTGATAATTCTCTGTGATTTGAAGCTGGTCTTGTAATTGTTTGTAACCATTTTTATTTTCAATGGGTAAGATAAGTAGTTGTATGCCCAAGCACATACTTTCTACAATGAAATTGGGGCATTAATAAGAGAATTTCATGTTTTCCAGTAGACCTTACGATTTGAAAACTTAATCAAATTTAACATTTATCAGAAGTGTAGCAATGCGTAAATTTCTTTGCTTCACCAGTTTTTGGTAAAATTCAGTTTTGCTTGGCTGAAGTAAGATTTCTTTTTTGGTATTCATCAAAAATATTGTGACAATTTCATTTTTATTGTAGGAACTTCGAAAAATGTGATTTATTTGTAGAAATTTGAAATGATGTAAAATGAATGTGACCAATAATGCTATCATTTGTCTCTTGAAGATCCATGTTGTATGGTGTATATCTGTGAAGGGCCAAAAAGAAGCCACGCTTTTGCTCTCTTTCGGGTACACAAACGTTTCTTAGAAGTGGAAGAAATGAAATCAAAATCGCTCAGACAAGAATGGAAGGTTCCAGAGTACTTTAAGCACTTGTCATTTCTAGACGAAAAAAAGAAAGAAATGATTTGGCAGACTTGACTTTTTAAGACTTGACCACAAAGAAGGAATTTAGTCAAGAATGATGGCCTTGTGATGTGTGTTTTAGTGATAATTTGATTTGTTGGAAATGAAGATTCTGAGAATGTACTTGTCTTGGCCCGTGTTTTTAAAGCCAAGACTTCAAGTTTGTTGCAGACGTACGTACGTTTCCCTCTCTATATTTTTTTTTTCTTGACGATGACTTTTGTAGTGTGGATTAGATGATGCATATGACAAGAAATGTTGCGTTTATTATTAATGCGAAAAATTCCAGTGCATATTAGCCATTTTCATGATATGTAAACAAAATGCTAACAATAAAAGACATTGATATTGCAATGAAAATTTGGCTTCTGTATGTCTTACTTTTTTTTCTCAATTCAAATAATGAAGCAGACGATATATATTTTGAAAAAAACACATTTATTTCAACGTAGCTGGATATGTAGGCACAATAGTATATACATTTTGAAAAGAGAATATCCACATGGTTCAATGAGAATCATTTGTTAATGAGATAAATACATGGTTGAATGAAATTGGAATGCCATCAATAACAATATTACATTCACTTTGACATTCTTTTTGAATTATGTAACTATTATTTATATATTACAGTTCTGATGATAAATTACATACAAATAACATTAAACGGCTGAAACTAAAATCTTGTAGACATCCTAAAGTGATTTATCTGATATATATCAAGTATTTAAAAAAAATATATAATCAAATACACATATATTACTCTTACCTTTCATAAATTACTCTTTTATGATGCAATCAAATTTGGCATAAAATGTGACCAAGGTGAATTTGAACTATTAACACTTAGCTTTTTACAATAATACAGTCAAGTATTACCTATGTTATTAGAGATTAAAAACGACATATATTTGGCAATAAGACAAGTACTGCAAAAGTTTTTATCAAAAACTTTGTCAGAAAAAATACAAGGTAATCAACACCATTTACTAGACTAAGAATACCCCCTTACGTATCGTAAGAAGAGTCATCGTACTATTGAGAGCAAATTGACAATGTTGAGATCTTCTCATTCTATAGTTATTTCAATTATTCCATACATTACATTCAGACTTTTTTTTGTTTTGAACAAATAGAGCACTGCGGGCTCGTGATTCAAATTCACAAATATTTCATAACTTCTAAACGCACAGTGAAAACAGAAATCTTTTGTCAGGCAATCAAATTTCGATCTCTGGCTCTGCTAGTACAAAATAAAAAGTATTTGCATAACCGTCTGCATTTAAAGTCATCTAATATGACAGCAATTTCACTTTAAAATCTTGTCATGTTGAACAAGTCAGCACTGTACGCGGTAGCTTTTCTGAATCTCTTATCACTCCTTCTTTACTTTACTTTTTTTCCGATTCCTCTTTTCAGTTTCACTTCATTTTGGTGTACAAACACAATAAACAAAAACCATAGATGTGTTTAAATCCATAAAAAATGATGTTAACAAGAGCCTTCAATCGTAAAGTCGGGTATTGTTTAACCAAATATTTATATCATCGTTAGTGATATAACCGACTTTTTAAAGCAAAAGATCAATATTAAAAGGTGTACAATTTTCGAATTCTAGTCCAAATATTATTTCCCAATGATAATTTCCTGAATAGTTTGCAATTAGATTACCGTATATTCTTTGTCCCCCAATACAAGTACACACGCACTACGTCGTGTTTTCAAAAGAGGACAAGGAGAAAGAGTGAAGTAGAGAATACTAAAGAATAGAAGATGAAGAATTCATGAAGGTTGTCATCATCGATACATATCAAGGATATCGAAAATGTCAATATTGATTGATTTGTACTTTTAGTCTCAATTGCGTACGAAGGGTGCATTCACTGTTTAAAAAAAAAGTAGCTGCGCCGTGTGCCGACATATCGTGAGGTTGACAGGAAATAGACCGACAGACAATTAGCTTTTGAAACTTCTGATATCTTGAATACACAGTTATGATGACGACAGAAAACTAATTATCTTTTGTTTGGGTTTTTCCAGTGCTGTAGCCCACCAGTTCGGAGAATGTTATTGATATCGATGTTTTGAGGATAAAGAAGTACACTGTCGCTCATAAAGTTGGAATATTTTTGTTTTACCCCAATTTATAGAATTATTTTAAAAATAATTTAAAAATAATAGATCTAGATAATAGTATACATTCTCAGCATTTATTGAACAATAATTTGACAATGTATGTTTTGCGTGACTGCTAAAGCATGTGTATGCTACTTTGCTTATCAACTAGGGGACCTACGTCCTTAAGTCATAAATGACAGTAATGAGGATTAATGCCCCACAAAAGGGCACTAATATAGCACATCGACACGGTTTTGATCCTGGGGCCTCACAGTTACGAGGCCATTGCTTTGTCACTGAACCATGATTGTACGCAGCGGGGGCTAGGGTAGGGGGCGGTTTCCATAAATTAAAAAAAGAAAAAAGAAAATGCAATAAATTTTCAATAATTTATTGCATTTTACCCCGGTTCCCAACATAAAAAATCCTCTGTGTGCACATGCCTTGAGCCATAATGCATAATGCATGGCCGATCCTAGCCCCCGCTGCGTACATTCATGGTTCAGTGACAAAGCAATGGCCTCGTAACTGTGAGGCCCCAGGATCAATATCGTGTCGATGCGCTATATTAGTGCCCTTTTGTGGGGCATTAATCCTCATTACTGTCATTTATGACTTAAGAAAAATCGCAGGTTACTAATTGGCGGGGAGTCCAGGTATTTTATTACGGTCAGATGAGCATCCAGGGGCCCGTCCTAGGGCCATTGGTGGGGGCAGAGCCCCCGGAAGCTCGTTTTTTTTTTTTTAGGTATTTAATAACGGTCAGATGAGCATCCAGGGGACCGCCTTAGGGCCCTTGGTGAGGTCCGGTGGCGGAGCCCCCGTAAGCTCTGGAGTTTTAGGCATTGAATTATGGTCAGATGAGCATATTTTGATACCTCATTATTTTGTGACATTGGCAGGTCACTTATTTTTTTCTTTCTCTTTCTCTGTAACATACTTTTTTTCAAAAAGTGAGGGGGCTCGAGCCTCCGAGCCCAGCCGTTTTGCAGGCCCTGACATAAAGGCTTCTAAATAAGCATATATTTTGCCCGACTGTAAATTTGGGAATTTTTTATTTTCCAACAAATGCATTAAAAAAGGTATGACTTACACAAAAATTGAAAAAAAAATACCGGAAAATCATGTCATTTCAGCAACATTTGTAAATCACTGGAATCGAATAAGAAATTACCCCCCCCCCCATTAGTACGCCAGCATTCAGGGGCTCATGTCTTCTCACCCCTATAACATAAAACACACACACTTTCCCATTCTCTCACAATAATACTTCCACGAGATGCGCGTATCGCCAATATAAAAACCGTCATTGAATATAGGTGGCATGCGGAATGTTTAGGAAATTTAATTCCTGTTAACTTTCCTTTCCTTTTCTTTGAATGGAATTTTATATGTGATTTAATTCATGTTTTTATTATTGTTATGTTCTTTGGGGTTAAAAATGCAAACCATCTTTACTCCTTAACTGCTTCTTTTTTTGAGGGGAGGGGGGGGGGGGCAAAAATGCGTTTTGCCCCCCCCCCCCCCCCCCCTGCCACTCCACTTCCGGCGCCTATGGTACCAGCATCATACATGCGTCAAAGTCAAGTCGTGAAATGTATCGAAATTCAAATAAACACTTCGTAAGGGGAAATAAGGTGGAGAAATAAAACCAACATATTATTTTAACAGGAGTTGACATAGCAATTACAAACACCTCTTCCACTGGTTAACATGCAGTTAACAGTCAATGCCAAAAGCAGATTACGTTATCGTGTCGGGTATTTCCCTTTTGCAAAAATTCAGTTTGAGGAATTGAAGTTGAACAGAACTTCAGACTGCGAGCACTTGAGAGCTCATTTATTTTGTAATATAAATATCGTTGAGTGAAGGTCTGTTTCGGGTACTATAGTACGAGAAAGAGGAAGTTCTGGTATGTTTAAAGTGTGACTTAAAGTGAGTATTTATCTACCGGCCCGTCTATAAAAGGAGCTACAGTTCATTGTTTATCGAGAGTGTTTATCTTTATATTTTTTTATTATTTTTTAAAATTTTGTATTATACTAATGGGTGACCTAAAAAAGATGACCTTACCCCCCCCCCCCCAGCGGCTGGCTGAGTCGTTGCGAATTTTTTGGACCCAAAAAAAAAAAATGTCCCTCCTAGCCAAGCCAGTACAGACGGCCTTTAAGATGTATTATTAGAAAATTACGAATAACGAACACAAGCAAAGCAATAACAATAGCCAACATAAAAATCGGGCACGTAGCCAAGTTCGGGTCGGGAAGTAAAAAAATTAGGTTCTGAGAGATTTGGAGACATGCCTCGCTATTATTTTGTAGTCGCTCTTCTGAGCCAGAAGTAGAATTCAGGTGCATTGACTTTGGAATATTTTTACCAGCCCGTCTATAAAAGCAACCAACGAATGAAAAACAGTTTGGATTTCTGAAATGAGCAGAGGATGAAGAGTGATGCTCTAACTAAGGTCAGTTTAATTCTTATTCGTCTTTTAACAACAAAAATAAGCTTCCTTGTCGGCCTATGGATTTTTAAACAATTTTTTTCTCGTCTTTTTTTGTTCATGTGTTTGATAATATGAAAATAAAATGAAATAACTTATTTTCTCGTACATTATGAAAAACGTTATTGTTATTCTTTTATGATCTATTAAAGTCTTGATTGTGAGTTAGTTTAAACTGATTATAGATCATGTAGACATTTTGTATTGTTTTGTCTTATGTTTGGAAATGGAGAAAATGAAATCCCACTACCCCCCCCCCCGGTGTTTGTGCGTGTGTGTGTCTTTCTCTCTTGTAACAAAACATAGATTTTGTCAAAGCCCATATAAAATGTTTCGTAAAACATTCTTAATTTCTATATCGGGAATCTCAAGATCAAAGAAACATCTCCAGTGGGTTCTAGGACACCTACCCCCTGGACATCCATTCCCGGATAAGCACCCCAGTCAACTACTCCCTAGGACAACTACCCCGGACAACTACCCCGGACAATTCCCCCCCGGTATACTACCCCTAGAACAAATACCCCCTTGGACAACTACCCCCGGACAACTACTCCTAGGACAACTACCCCCAGACAACTACCCCCTACGACAACCATCCTCTAGGACAACTACCCCCGGAAAACTAGGGGGTAGTTGTCTGGGGGGCAGTTTTCCGGGGAGTAGTCGTCCTAGGGGGTAGTTGCCCTAGGAGATAGTTGTCCGGATACGATTCAGTTGCCCGCAAAATAATATTTCCGAA